ATCCCGACAGGGACTTTAGATTCTTACAAGTGAGGAAGCTATCAGCTAGCTTACGGACTGCGACAGTTCTACTCAGGTGCCCATTCGGGCCTGAAATAATGCACGGAAGGGCACCCGAGGACTTCCTCCACCAGTAAAGCTTGAACGTCGCCAAATGACATATACTGTGTTGGTGTGACCCAATCAAACAAACAAACAATAAAATAATACAGTAGAAACAACTGTCTGTAGTGATATATTTTGTAAAAATTTGTGTTCTTTTTCACGGTCAATTAAACAAAAGTTGAGTTCGGTTTGTAACGATAGATGTTGGCAATGGTTTGCTGCAAAAATCTGATTCATAGGGCCCAAACTATTCTACACAATGTGAAATGAATATAAGATGAACGAATGTTACTAACTTAAAAATAATAAAGTGACTAATAGCTACAAGGTAAAATAGGAAAATTGGACATTCCATACAGCTAACTCCCTTCCATTGTGCTGCAAACACCAAGTTGCTGACAAGATCTTGATTTTGCATATAGATCTAAAAATATGAAATAAATGTTTAGTTTTCACTGATTTTGACTCTTCTGAAAAAAATTATTGTAATATATTGGACTATTTCTTATCATTATCCAGAGTTTGACGAGGTTAATTAGCATTATAACATTGATTACTCAAAGCTTCACTCAAGCTGAAAAAAAAGAGAAAATCCCAGAGAAATTGTTTAAATCATATTTTTACATTGTGTACGTCACTCCTTACTTCTGTAGAAAAGCAGAATATTTTGTTTTCTGAGTTTAAAAATCTCATCCTTCGGCATAGGGTGATATAATCTGAAATTTTAAAGACAATTCAAACCATACCTCATTATTAAAAACACTGATTTCTGAGATTCGAGGCTGAGACAACAATAGAATAATTCTCTCTAACATGGCTAGCTGTTGATATTCTCTAGCAATGTATTTTATTTTAATTTGCTCATATGTGCTTACTCCTAATTAGGTAACACATTTTTGTATTAGGTAACATCCTAAGCATACCAACAGAATCAATTAGCAGGTACAAATTTGTTGATCGATCTAAACCCAAATTTTGACATTTTAATTTTTTTCGAAACTCTTTTCTTAGATATTTGGCATGAAACGTCTTCTAATAGATGTCTTCCAAGTTTGTTCAAATAAAATCCCTAGAGTCAAAATTGACCTTGACCCTGCCCCAGGGGGTCGTTGATTTTCCTCATATGTATATAGTAAAAACCTAAAAAATCTTATTGTGACAATCCAGAAGCACTATAGATAAGATATTTAGCATGAAACATCTTCTAGAGGATGTCTACCAATTTTGTTCAAATAAATGCCCTAGGGTCAAAATTAGCCCCGCCCCCAGCCAGGTCAAAAATTTCCTTGGTGACAATGTACAAGTTTTTTTCAGATTTAGCTGTCCCTTATGTTAGCTCACCAGAACGGAAGGTTCAGGGTGAGCTATTAGTATCAAAGGGGGATACTCTGTTGTCCAGCGTCGTGTGTCAACAATCATCTTCATCTCTGAAACTGATTTACCTCAAATTTGGTCTGTAGTATCCTTGTGACAGTCACACTTAAATTTGCTCATGCCATTTTAACAAGTTCAATTGGTCCCTTTTTAGTGTCAACAGAGCAAAAAATAGAAAAACCTTTAAACATCTTGTCTGTAGCATTCTTAGGTAGTCTTTTATCAAATTTGCTCAATTTTATTTGATTTGCCCCTTTTAGGGGTCTCTAGAGCAAAAAATACGAAAAAATATTTTAGACATTTTTTTTTGAACTTCTACAGAACTAATTAATTGATTATCACCAAACTTTGTCTGTAGCATTCTTAGGTAGACTTTTATCAAGATTGCTCATATTAATTTAATTGGCCCCTTTTAGGGGCTGCTAAAGCTAAAAATAGAAACACCTTTAAATGTCTCCTTCTTTAAAACTAATTGATGGATGATTACCAAGTTTTATCTGTAGCATTCTTAGGTAGTGTTTTATCAAGTTTGCTCATATTAATTTAATTGGCCCCTTTTAGCGGCCTCTAAAACTAAAAATAGAAAAAGCTTTGAACATCATCACCTACTGAAATAATTGATGGATGATCCCCAAACTTTGTCTGTAGCATTTGTAGGTAGTCTTTTATCAAGGTTGCTCATATTTAATTTGATTGGCCCCTTTTAGGGGCAGCTAAAGCTTAAAGTAGAAAAACCTTTGAACATCATCTCCTACTGAAATAATTGATGTATGATCACCAATGTCTGTAGCATTCTTAGGTAGTGTGTTATCAAGTTTGCTCATATTAATTTGATTGGCCCCTTTTAGGGGCAGCTAATGCTAAAAGTAGAAAAACTTTTGAACATCATCTCCTTCTGAAATAATTGATGGACGATCACCAAACTTTGTCTGTAGCATTCTTAGGTAGTCTTTTATCAAGTTTGCTAATATTAACTTGATTGGCACCTTTTAGGGGCTTCTTAAGCTAAAAATAGAAATACCTTTAAACATCTGCTTCTACAGAATTTATGGGTGGATGATCACCAAATTTCTTAGGCAATTCTTAGGTAGTCTTGTATGTTTTACTGAAAAGCAGTTGTTTCTGGTGAGGGACTCAGGGCCATCATGGCCCCCTTGTTTTAAATTGTGCTTCTGGGATTAAAAATGGCTACACTTTGACCTTTTGACCTATTTCTCAGGTGAGCGATCCAGGGCCGTCTGGGCCCTCTTGTGTCATAACCTTGGACCCTTGACACTTTGCAAATATGTGTTGTCTGTCCAGGTTATATCATTAGAAAAAAACCTTAGTGGAGACACCCTTAAAGGGTTAGTTCAGCTATGTTGCATTTTGTAACGGATTTGTCATGCTTTATATTTGGAACAGTCCATTCAAAGATAATGGGATTTCATTATTTAAATACAAGAATTGAGCTGTCAGCAGTACAGAGCCTGGTCAGACTGTGTGGATGTGCAGGCAGGCCAGGCCTTTTACTGTGCTGGCAAAACCTAATTCAAGCAGGGTAACGGTCAATGTCAGAATTAACAATGGACAATTCTATATTCAAAGTTGGGCAAGTTCATAATACAGGGTGCTCATCAAGCTTGTTAAATGTTATGATTTTCATGCATTGAAACTTATTTGAGAGCATAATTGATCGTCATTGTCCAGTGCCCATAACTCTTACATGGATTTTGACAGAATTATGTCCCTTTTTTAACTTCTGCATAATTAATGCTGATTTTGTTGGCAGAATTCTGGAAGAGATCTGAATTTTTTTCTTTGTTATTGATCCTCAAAGGTGAGTATCGGTATTTAGTAAATAAGTATTTATGATCAGGGGACAATTAGGAAATGCAGATTGAAAAATTAATTATTTCTCGTTTGTCAGTTTTCTGAAAATTAAATGTAAGCTGCAACATCTAGCTACATCACTGACGTAATAATTTGTTTTCAGATTATGTATTTATGTATATATATATATACGGTTACCAGATGGCATTTTGCTTTACATATTTATTTCATTTAATGCCTGCACTTAGTAAAATACATTACCCGAAATAAGAATTTATGTGTATACTGGGAAATCATTTAATGGAATATCTATGGAAAGAGTATTCACCGATATAAAACCTCCTTTAAACTAATATTTACTCTAAATTGTTTTATAATGATAGAATATTGATTATTTTGTTAATTGTTGCATTACTTTAATTGGATTGTAATGGTATTATCCTGATGTTTTGTATTATTGCTATTGTTGCTTTTGTTCTATATTCTTAATTGGTTGATTTGATTTCCCCAGTAGATATATACCAATTTGATTAAGAGGCATTGTATTTTAAGAGAAATTGATTTTGTACTGTGAATTTGATATGGAAATGATATTGATATCTGTGGTCCATCAATGTGACCATTATATCCTTTTTAATAAGGACAAAAAGGTCAATTTCATTGTCGATAGAATTATTACAATTTTCAAAATGAGTTTTTGATTCAGACCTACATCAAATGGTACTCTTACCTTTAAAAAAATGAGCCATGAGCATCCGCGCAGTCTGATCAGGATCCATGCTGTTCGCTATCAGTATCTCTACTTGTAATAGGGTTTGTAAGCGAACAGCATGGATCCTGATCAGACTGCGTGGATGCGCAGGCTGGTCTGAATCCATGCTGGTCGCAAACGCACTATGTTGGTTTTGTCATGACACGGCTCAAATATTTCCAGTCCTGTCATGTGATATAAATTCAAATGCTACTTTTTAAAGTCAATTTTCTTCCTTAGTATTTATGTCATTCAGCATAGTGTAAGTAATTCTGCACTATTACTGTCTTGTTTGTAAACAAATATCTGCCAACTTCTCCTTATAAATTGAAAACACAGTTTGAGGATATTGCCACTAGACATAATTTTGTAAACAAGATCATGATTGGAAATTACCAGTATATTCATTGCCCGGGATTGTAACTTAGGTAATTGCAGGAGAGGCAAGACTGTAACATTTAAAATGTTAGCTGCAATAATGTTTTGCCTAGGCTGACAGTATAGAGTGAGACCAGTTTACACATGTCTCTGAGACCAGTTTACACATGTCTCTGAGACCAGTTTACACATGTCTCTGAGACCAGTTTACACATGTCTCTGAGACCAGTTTACACATTACACATGTCTCTGAGGCCAGTTTACACATGTCTCTGAGACCAGTTTACACATGTCTCTGAGACCAGTTTACACATGTCTCTGAGACCAGTTTACACATGTCTCTGAGACCAGTTTACACATGTCTCTGAGACCAGTTTACACATGTCTCTGAAAACAGTTTACACATGTCTGCAGTCTAACTGTGCTGTAATTATTAAGCATTTAAATGAGAAACCCTTCACATTAAGAATGGACAGTTCCTGGTTTAATGCATGACAAGTCTGAAATCTAGGGATGCTTATTAACTAAAGAATAATCATTATAATAAAATCATTGATGGCAATGTTTTGACTATTTTCAGCACTAACTGTTACAGTGGATTCATATTTCTGGCAGCGCTGGTTGTGGCCAGAAGGGGAGGTGCTATGGTATAACACAATACTCAACAAAAGCTCAAACTGGGGTGTATCCTTTAAATTGATGTACTAAAAATGATAGAGAAATAATTTGAATTTTTTTTTTATGCCACCGCAGCATCTGCGATGCGGTGGTATGTAGCGATTCACCTGTGTGTGTGTGTGTTTGTTTGTGTGTGTGTGTGTTATATAGATTATATAGTGAACTTAAAAAATCTTCTTGTGAAAAACCACTAGTCCAATTTCAACCAAACTTGGCAGGATTGATCCTTGGGTGAAGGGCTTCCAAAGTTGTTCAAAGAATTTCATTCCATGCAGAAATCTGGTTGACATGGCAACCAAAAGGAATTATAAGAATAAATTTGAAAAATCTTCTTGTCAAGACCCAAAAGGCCTAGAGCTTAGATATTTTGCATAAGGCATTGTATGGTAGACCTCTATCAAAATTGTTCAAATTATAGCCCTGGGGTCAAAATCGGCCCGCCCCGGGGGTCATTGATTTTCACTATATGTACATATAGTAAAAACTTAAAATACCTTCTTGTAAAGACCCAAAAGGCCTAGAGCTTAGATATTTTGCATAAGGCATTGTCTGGTAGACCCTTACCAAGATTGTTCAAATTAAAGTCCTGGGGTCAAAATCGGCCCCGCCCCGGGGGTCATTGATTTTCACTATATGTATATATAGTAAAAACTTAAAATACCTTCTTGTAAAGACCCAAAAAGCTTAGAGCTTAGATATTTTGCATAAGGCATTGTCTGGTAGACCTTTACCCACATTGTTCAAATTATAGCCCTGGGGTCAAAATCGGCCCCGCCCCGGGGTCATTGGTTTTTCTTATATGTATATAGTAAAAACTTATAGTAAAAACTTTAAAAAAAATTCTTCTAGCAATTGACAAATGCTAGAGGTTAGATATTTTGCATGAAACATTGTGAAGTGAACTTCTAGCAAGATTGTTCAAATTATAGCCCTGGGGTCAAAATTGCCTCTGCCCTTGGGGTCATTGATTTTCAAAATATACATTTAGTAAAAAATAAAAAAAAATTATTGTCTGAAGGTACAAGGCTTAGAGCTTTAATATTTGTTAAATGATATCATCTATAGGTACTCTACCAAAGTTGTTCAAATTTTGCCTCAGATTGTGTCAAAATTAGCCCCGCCCCAGGGGCCATAGGTTTTCCTTATACATGTATGTATATAATAAAAACTCATCTTCTCTAAATTTACAAAGGCTAGAGTTAAGATATTTTGCATAAAACATTATGTAGTGAACCTCTAGCAAGATTGTACAAATTATAGCCCTGGGGTCAAAATTGGCCCCACCCCCAGGGGTCATTGATTTTCACTAAGTACATATAGTAAAAAATTAAAAATCTTCTTGTCTGAAGGTACAAGGCTTAGAACTTTGATATTTGGTTTATAATTATATCATCTATGGGTCCTCTACAAAAGTTATTTTAATTATGCCCCTAGTGTTAAAATTGCCCTGCCCCAGAGGCGATAGTTTTCCTTATATGTATTAAGTAAAAACTTGAAAAATCTTCTGCTCTGAATTGACAAAGGCTAGAGGTTAAATATATGGCATGAGACTTTGCGAAGTGAACCTTTACCAAGATTGTTCAAATTATAGCCCTGGGGTCAAAATTGGTTCCGCCCCGGGGGTCATTGATTTTCATATAGTAAAAAAATAAAAAATATTTTTGTCTGAAGGTACAAGGCATAGAGCTTTGATGTTTGCTATATAATATCATCTATAGGTCCTCTACCAAAGTTGTTCAAATTTTTCCCCTGGTGTCAAAATTGGCCCTGCCCAGGGGCAGTGATTCTCATTATGTACACAGTAAAAACAGAAAATAAAACAAATGTTTTCTGAATGGGAGAAAGCTACAGCTTAGATATTTGACTTGAAATGTTGTTTGGTGGACCTGTATCAAGATTGTTTTGAATTAAACCCTTGGGTCCAAAATTTTGACTTGCCCAAGGGGACAGTGACCAACTTTCTTGTCCTTTGATGTACAGCAATGAAATTTTGACCATGTGCACAGTTTTAGTTGAAAAATTGAACTTTGATATCTGGTGACCTAGAAATTGATGATGTGACCTACTTTCTTGTCCTTTGATGTACAGCTATGAAATTTGAACCATGTGCACAGATTAAGATGTAAAGTGAACTTTGATTTCAGCTGACCTATATTTTGACAAAGTGTCCTACTGTGTTGTCCTTTGATGTATAGTCATGAAATTTAGGCTGTGTGAAATATGACCTTCACCACCAAATTCACTAGACTCGAGTGCATTGATATATTCCTACTCTGATCTTTTATTGAGTTAACAACAGATTTAACCACTAATCTGATAATAAGAATAAGATAGGTCAGGGATCTATGCATTATGACAATCTTCAATAGAAACTAAAAAAATCTGTTCCTGCACTACTATTTAGTGTTGTATTAATGCGGTGGCATAGCATTTTTCTCAAATGCAATCTTGTTTTTTTTGAAAAATGTAGTACCTTTCAATTAATAGAATACATTGCAGTTGATGGTAAGTTTAAGGTTTCAGTGGTTCAAAGTACGTTACTAAAGAATAAATTTGCAATTAAGTTTTTACTTTCTGGGACTAAAACCATGATGATCAATTCTAGTTCAAAATTCAGACCATGGTTAATCCATTACTAGTATACAAACTTAACTGGGTTAGGATTTCATCCCTTGTTAATCTCTGTACACATGTCTTAACATATTTTAATATATTCCTAGAATTCGGATGACCTTAACCTTTGACCTTAACCTTTCTCTCAGACATTACCATTCCTGTGGTATTTTTACTCGGCTTTGCCAAGGGCCTTGTCATTTAGTATATTTCTTGTACCTGTAGGACTCTGTCTGTCTCCGAGGCTCATGCAGCTTGTGTTACCTGCGTTGACGTTTGTGTTTCTGTATTCATTTTTACCACACAAGGAGCTGAGATTCATCATCTATGTCATACCAGTGTGTAATACAGCTGTGGCAGAGGCTTTACATAAACTGTAAGTAACATTGTGTGTTGTTACTATATAAACATATACATATATTTCTTGATGTTACACTTGAAACATCTTCTCACTAGAAGCAGTGTTTTTGTAGAGGTAACAGTATGTTATTCTGAGTGATAGGTTTTTTACTACAATAAGACACCGTACACAATGGACCTTTCCGGTTTTTCGTAGCGGAACATTTAGCCACACCTTTTCCATTCATTGCTAGGTCAACTGCTCACAAACAGTATCACAAACATAACTACGTGTTCTTTTGTGCAAACCAGGTCAACCAGTGACTATGTATTATCTAAGTGTAGCGATTGGATAGCAAGTTAGCCAATTTACATAAAACTGTAAACACCGGAAAGGTCCATACTACATTTGAAACATTAATTCTATATGTTACATTTGAAATGTTACATTTGAAAGGTTTATTCTAATCGTTACATTTGAAACATTTATTCTAGATGTTACATTTGAAACATTTATTCTAAAAGTTTTATTTTAAACGAAACATTTATTCTATATGAAACATTTGAAACGTTTATTCTAGATGTTACATTAGAAATGTTAATTCTAGACATTACATTTGAAACATTTTTTTCTAGACGTTACATTAATTTTGAAATGTTTATTCTAGATGTTACATTTGAAACATTTATTCTAGATATTACATTTTAGAAATTTATTCTAATTGTTACATTTGAAGCATTAATTCTATATGTTACATTTGAAATGTTACATTTATTCTAGATGTTACATTATTTTTGAAACATTTATTCTAGGCATTACATTTGAAACGTTTATTCTAGATGTTACATTTGAAAGGTTTATTCTAGATGTTACATTTGAAACATATATTCTAGTATTACATTTAATACTTTCATTCTTGACATTGCATTTTAAATGTTATATTTGTGAAGGTACTGGTATGTTATTTTGATATACTATTTTTACTAGAAAAATGAACATTTTCCAAAGTAAGATTATGACTTTCTTCTAGAGAGTAAGGCATTAAATTTTATTTTGAACTGCTTGTCAGGGGTGGCAAAATCAATTGTCTGTATTACCCTGGTTGTCCCACAGCCTGTATGGACAAGTGGAAATTTTCAAGAATTTACTATATAAATATCATACCGACAAGTTAAGAAATGTTTTAAATAAAAAACAGACAAGTAAGTGAAAATCAGATTTTGCCTTGCAAGTTGTATTACACTCAAAATATTTGTTACTTTCCTTGTGACTTTTTCCTGCAGGTAATAATGATTGATAACTACTTGGTAAAATACCAGCATAAATACCAGTATAATTGATATCCCTGATTTCCAGTGGATTGTATTTGAGCTACATAACTAGGTGATTTAATTGACTTAGCATTCAGGCTTACCTGTATGTTATGATTAAAACGTTACATACTTGTATTATGTGAATAAAGAAGGGGAAAAAAAATCTGCTGGCTTTTACATGAACTTCACAGCAACTTTTGTTTAGAAACCTTTCTTTCCAAGTATCATCCTCACATAGGAAATAACTTTATAAATAAAATGTAATTAATTTAAAAAAAAAAAGGAGGATTTATGAAAGACCTTTTTGATTATTTGTGTTTGTTTGTTTGTTTCTTTCTTTCTTTAAAGATATATTATGCTTAAATTTGATAATTGAATATAGTGATAATTACTTTGCATTCCCTTTTTAAATGGAAAATAAACATCCTTTGAGTACACACAGAGAAGGAATATTATGTTTTTAAACTCTACATGCTAAATCTAACACAGTATAAGTATAAGTAAAACATGTAAAAGAATTAAATTGGAAATAGACAAGTAAAGCAGAGTAGCGTAGTCAAGGTTAGAGAATTCTGCGTTTTCATCGAGTTCAAATCTGGAATTGTGCAATATTTTTTATGTCTGTATGGTTTTTTCTTTCAGAAAACATTTTAATATTCTCTTTTATAAACCTGTTATTAATTTAATATGCTCTACAATTCAAAGTTAAATTTATAACAATTTAGCAAAATTGAATGTATTTGATTTTAGCAGTCATCATACAGAATGAAAAGTATATTCAATTTGTCAATTTAATTATCCCCCGCCGATGGAATCGGGAGGGGGATATAGTTTTGGCGTTGTCCGTCCATCAGACCGTCCGAATTTCGTTTCCGGAGTAGTTCTCTGCAACTACTGGCTGGAATTCAATGAAACTTTATGGGAATCAGAATGCTATATAATCTTTAATCTATGTTTTATGCCATATAAAATAGTATATTCTACAAAAAAATCTGTGACATACATTCAGATTACAATTTACTCTGCCATTAATTTATGTGTACAATAAACATACATAGTTATTAATTGTCCTTTAAATATTTTAAATTATGTACAATTAAATGTCTGAAATATAATAACCAGTATGCTTGTTAATTTCTTATAATTAGGATAAATAAATACTGCATCCACTAAAATTTCACACACAGAATATAACACACTGATCAGATAAAACTAATGGCACCCCAGGTGGTTTCCTCTATCTAAGCATGATCAATCTTCTCATTGGGCATTCTGGGATAGACCAGATTGTTCCATGTGATTATTCAGGGGGAGTCTGGGTTTTTATACATTCCAAAACAATAAGTCTAAAATGACATTGCAACAGTGATTCTCTTTCAAGAACTTATTAAAATTTTCAACTTTTACATTTATTTATCATTTGATATATTTGTACCTTCAATAAATGTAAAATTAAAATGATGGTGGCTTTGATATTTTGGGATCACCCCTGTTTCACATTATAATAAACCTATCCGACATACTGTTGAAAAATTTGAATCTCAGACATTAATGGGTCAAGTGGTTATAGTTGGAAATAGTGGAAACATGGATTTATTTAAGCAATTTTGGAGATATCTTGTTTTAAATGTTAGGGAGCATATTATGGAATTTTCAAAGAAAACATTTATCTAAGTGTGACAAGATTCAGGAAATGTTTGGTTGTTGTAATTGAACCTAAAGATCAATGACCTGAGACAGGAAGATAAACAAAAGAAACATAATAGTAAAAAGGTTCAGGTAAATGACTTTTAGATACATTTATGCAGAAAAACTGTGTTTTTTTCTTCAAATAAGTATTAAATACAAACTATTTTAGATCTATATTTTTAACCTTTGTAAGCTAGTTTAAATACAATTGTTTAGAGGATATTTTATGAGTATGAATGTTATGTTTGTCTATGATTGTATTAACAAGATGAATGCATGAAACTATGATGACATTATTCATAAACTTTCATCTTTCATCTATTATTTGAATCTACAAATGTTTAGTTACAGAGTCAGCTTGAAAGCAAGTTTGCAGGTGTTCCAAACTACAAGAAGATGGCAATCCAGTCTCTTATCATAGTATAAAGCAGAGGAATATACTGGAAAGTCATTGGCATTGGCACAAAGGAAGCCAACTGTAGACCAGGAAAGGCTTCAAGGAATATACTAAAGTATGTTTTTGTTTTAAAACTAGGTTTTGAAAGTTTCAATTTGAAATTTAAATGAATGATGGTTTCTGGAACTGATTTTTTTATTGATACTTGAAATGCTGTAAATGTAATATCAGATGACTCTTCAGCTTTATTGCTGCAGGAACACATTTCATGCCCCTTTGAGCAGACAGATACAGTCAGTGTAGGCAATCAGAATCACCTTATGAAAAGCGTTATTTTTTGCAATATTTTTAGAGTGCTTTAGGTTGGAACATCCATATGACATAATCTAAAATAATAGTAACAGACGTTGCTTATTTTCTAAACATTGCAGAATTGTCACACTGCTAACAAAAGTTTTTTCTTGAAATCTTGACACTAAATACTGATGAATAAAAAATAAAAATCAACATGAAAAAAATTAAATTCATTATTTCAAAACAAATTAGACAAACATTTAAAGTTACTACAGAAAAGTTCATTTGAAAATATTAAAGCCTTCATTTTAAACAATAGCTATCTAAACAACTTGTCATTAAAGTAGTTTTGGATCACTCAAAAGATATATTTCCTTTAATACACAAGTGCTGATCTTTTAAAACAATATATCAACTTATATTTTTGTCTATGGAAACGTAAGGAACGTATTAGTTTGTTTTTATTGATGAATAAAAAAGAAATTAAATGATGTAATTCTGATTGCCTACATATACTGTACTGTCCCGAGTATAACCACAGGTAATCCATAATCCTGGGCTTGATAGCTCCCTCAGAGGGAAGAAGCCCATCCTGGCTTCAAGAGTCAAAAATACAATGTTGTAAGGCAAGTTTGAAGTTGTTGAGCCTGACCACATGGAGAGGGAAGTGCCCAGTAGTGATTTTATATAATTGTATTTTTTTTTAACTTCTTTCAATGGCTGTACTTTATTAAATATTAACTTTATTTATTTCAGGAATTGTATCCAAGCATTTTCCACATGTGACCCCTGTGACGGTGAGGGAAAAACTTGGGGACACTTTAAAATCATGAAGAGTGAACAGGACTTCAATAGATTAATATTTGAATACATAAAAATTTGCCGGGTACCAAAAAAATTATAACTGAACATTGAGTGTAATATTTACCATTAAAGACTACTAACTTAAATTTTCATTTGTAGTGCATAACTATTTACTTCACTCTGACATTAAATGTTTCAGTGAGTCATGTGATCATTTTTTGCTCTGTAGTATTGTTATAAAGAAATTTATTAATTCTTTAAAAGGACAATATAATTGCTCTTTTCAGAATATTTCATTGGTTGTTATATTTTTGATTTTCCATGGATATTCTAGAAATTTCCAAGGTTTTTGCTCAAGTAAACCTTGGAAAATGATCTTGATGCTTTAGTAAGAATCCTAAGGGAAATATTACAGTATTCCCAGTTTTGAGAAACTTTCCGAGGTTTTCATTTAAAAACCTTGGAAAACAAACTCCGAGGTCACTCATTTTACAAGGTTTTCTAAAAAAATCCTCGGAAATTATTTTACGAGGTTTTTATTCTGAAATCCTTGGAAATCGTTCCAATACTCCGAGGTCTTACTTTTTACGAGGTTTTTTTTAAAAAAAAACCTCGGAAATTTTTTACAAGGTTTTATACCCTCTCCCTATTTTTCCAAGGTTTTCTTAATAGCAAAGTTTTGCATTTTCTCGTTCCAATACTCCGAGGTTTTTTTCCAAGGATTTTGAGCCAAAAACCTTGAAATATCTACACCCGGGAACTAAGAGGAGATGTGTATATTGTCAGCTTGTACCGGTCAGACACTTTAACTCAGAGTTATGGCCCTTGATTAGTTATGCAGTATGCATATGGAGTAAAAATCGTTTCCGCGCTACTTCTCTGCAACTACTGGCTGGAATTCAACGAAACTTTATGGGAACCTTCAATACTAAGAGGAGATGGGCATATCGTCGGCTTGTTCCGGTCAGACACTTTAACTCAGATTTATGGCCCTTGATTAGTTATGCAATATGCATATGGAGTAAAAATTGTTTCTGGAGTAGTTCTCTGCAACTACTGGCTGGAATTCAACGAAACTTTTTGGGAATCATCAATATCAAGAGGAGATGTGTATATCGCCGGCTTGTTCCGGTCAGACCCTTTAACTCAGAGTTATGGCCCTTGATTAGTTATGCAGTATGCATATGGAGTAAAAATCGTTTCCGGAGTACTTCTCTGCAACTACTGGCTGGAATTCAACGAAACTTTTTGGGAACCTTCAATACTAAGAGGAGATGGGCATATCGTCGGCTTGTTTGAGTCAGACACTTTAACTCAGAGTTATGGCCCTTGATTAGTTATGCAATATGCATAATGGAGTAAAAATCTTTTCCGGAGTAGTTCTCTGCAACTACTAGCTGGAATTCAACGAAACTTTATGGGAATCATCAATATCAAGAGGAGATGCGCATATCCCCGGCTTGTTCCGGTCAGACTGTTTAACTCAGAGTTATGGCCCTTGATTAGTTATGCAGTATCCATATAGAAAAATATTTGTTTCCTTGCTACTTCTCTGCTACTACTGGCTGGAATTCAATGAAACTTTATGGGATACTAAGAAGAGATATGCATATAGTCGCCTTGTTCCAGTCAGATACTTATAACTCAGATTTATGGCCCTTGATTAGTTATGTAGTATGCATACATCTCATTGGCATTTCCAGATTTTACTATTTAACACAAAGTTATGGCTCTGTTATAGCCCTGAATATTTATCAAGTTCAAAGAATATTACTGTTTATGCCATGATTAGTATATAAATAAAGCCTTATGTCTTCAGTTGTTGTGTTAATAATAACCAGTACTTGGCGGGGGATATAAATTCAACGAATTTGCTTGTTTTATTTAAAATTCTGAATTTAGTTTGCTACAGATATTAAAAATTTTGGCTCATTTGTATATTTATATATTTAAGTTTTTTCCATTCCACATTTATCACTATAGACCTTTTTTACGACGCAGTCTGTTGCTATGAAAAATTGATCGGAAGTAGTACTTTCTCGCGCATTGCGCAATCTGCGTAGGGCAAAAAAGCATGGCCTTATATAGAAATATAGTAGAAGTTCATTGACAATTTGGCGTTAGTTTAAAGTTACATTAAATAAATATGTAAAAATATTTTGCCGTCGGCCTAAAAATCATACATTCTACAGTTTCATTAACCTGTTTAATAGTTTTGTTGTAAATCTCATCAAATATTGTTCATAAATTAGGATTTTAAATGGGAAACCCCACGGTAACATTGAAGTTCGTATACGAATTTTAACATGCAAATGAAGACTATAATGAGCTCGTGTATGCGTTACGTCACAGTTTTGTAGTTGCTATCTGGAACACAGCAAATGTGATAATTTCTTGTGCAAACACACTTTAACCGTTTAAGCTTCACGGTGCGCTAAACCTGGGGTTCAGTAAAAGTAATCATCTCGTAAAAAGATTAAATTTGTATGAAAACATCTGTTAAGATGTGGAAATATACCGTTAAATTAGGACTGCCACTTATAGTCATGTTTGTTGATTTAATATTGATGTACGGATGATCCGAAGGCGGAGTTTCTCATGCAAACAAAAATTGTACTTCCCATTTCGCCACAATGAGGTTACCTATTTTTATGCTAATAAAACTCATTTTGGTTGTTTGGACACTAAAATAAGACCTGGAGTCGATATAAAACCCAATTAAATAATGAAATGTCGCTATTTAGTTTTTTATGAAATTTATTAAATGTAACTTTAAGGTAAAAGGTAGAAAATGATATAAAATAGCTTTTAACAAAAAAAGAAAAGATTCCTTTATAGTTTTGTGGCAAAGATTGTCATAAAAAGGCACGGAAAAGGTAATTGTTTAAGAATTCCACCTTACGGTCAAGAACCTGACATTGAAATTTTTTTAAAGAAAATGTGGAAATTTATCTACATGTATATTATTAAGCAAATAAAGAGGTTATCTAAATTGTTGTTGAAATAGCTCAAAAAAAAGATAAAAGAAATTTTTATTACATATGAAATCTAGGTTAATTATCATTCTGAAAAAAGTCAGAACAGGTGATATATAATGTATTTTTAGTGTTCAGTTTACCTGATTTCATCCTTAATCTGATTTGACTGTGATGTAAAACAAAAAAGTTTTAAGTCACATAAATATACATTTATTAAAATATACATTTATTTAAACCCTTTACTTCATATATACGCGAAACAACGCACTTTTGACCCCCCCCCCCCTCTTTTAGGCCTCAAATAGTGAAAAAATATCCTATTTGGGCCCCTGCACATGTTGACGTTTGAGAAATGTTGCTAAAAAAAGTGAGCACTTTTTCGGCTCGCCCCCCCCCCATCCAAAAGATACATCAAGGGGTTGCCAGAAGGGGGATGTGTTTGGGGGTTTTAAGGGGTGCGGCAGTCCCCCACATTGCCAAGAAAATTTTGGACTTGTGAGAGGCTAAAAATGACCCCAGGTCGATCATAAGGTAATGTGTAACCAACACTGAAAAGCTTTTGACTCTATCTCAATCCATTGAGAAGTTGCAGCACTTTGAAATAAATTTTGATGGAAAAAATCAAGGCAAAATAGTGATTTTTGGCAATTTTGAGATTTCCCCTCGTTGCCATGGTAACGGGAAATTCAAGACTGAGCATGTGCCGAGTTTGATTTGTATTGAAGCATTTTTCACAGTTTCATAGCAGTTTGAACTTGTAACAAGAGGCTTTTCAATGAAAACGGCCATTTTTCACAATATGCTCAATGGTTAAATAATTAAATAGTTTTAGAAGATGGGTAGTGGGACACATTTTATCAGGTTCATTGTAACACATGTTAAATTTTTTTCAATGCACTATTGTCACTTCACAAAATTAATAACCGTTGATGAGATCGGTAAATGTAAAAGTTACTTTAATTACGATTTTCATAATTTTATGTACATGTACTATGTCATATTTTTAAAACGTCCCAGTTGAATGTTACTAAACAAACAACCGGTCGCGAGTCAATCTGTTTGACACTTACCGCCAGGCCAATCCAAAGGAAGTGTACAATACAAATTGTGCAATATTATATAATACAGGGGTAACAAAATTTGATTTGTAGATTTATCTTTAGCACCCTGCTGTTTAAATTTAAATTACGTATGAAAAAGTCGTCTAATGATACTTGAAATTTACAACTTTTGTATGCGCATTTTGACCATTATGAATTAGTAGTCCCGCATGTTTTCGTATATCTGTTATGAATATCAATTCACTTTTTAAGTACTTACCGCTTTAAGTCATCACAAAACTACTGTTGTCTGGTTTCCGTGGCCGAGTGGTTAAGGTCGTTTACTTCAAACCACTTGCCCCTCACTGCTGTGGGTTCGAATCCCGACAGGGACTTTGGATTCTTTCATGTGAGGTAGCTATCCAGCTAGCTTACGAAACGTCGGTGGTTCTACTCAAGTGCCCGTTCATGCCTGAAATAATGCACGGAAGGGCACCTGAGGTCTTCCTCCACCAGTAAAGCTGGAACTTCGCGATATGACCTATACTGTGTCGATGTGACGTAAAACCCAAAACAAAAAAACATAACATGAAATCACATCTATTAAAGCCTTAAAGTATCATAAACCGTAGTCAACGTTATTGCGCTTTTGCCCTACGCAGAATGCGCATGCGCCAAATGTAACATCGGTTACTATAGAAGAATCGTAGTGTTAAAGCTCTATAATCACGACTGTGTTGTCTCTTGTAAAGGCAACTGTGTAAAACTCAATGTTCTCAAATTGTATTGTGTGAAATTAATTCACGTGTTCTTTGAAAAATATGTAAAAACAAAAAATAAAATAAAAGAAAAAATGCCATTTCCAAGATTCGAACCACGGTCTCTACACTGACAGAGCCAACACTCAACGACTACGCTATTATGCTGAACGGTTAAATATTTAGGCAATAAATAGCATGCGTTTATACATGTATAAGATTTATCAACACCCCTTTTTGTCAATATTGATGTAAACAGATAATGAAAGGAATAGCGAATTCGAGCTGTATTAGTGTCATAAATAAACTGGCAGTATATAAACT